TTTAACCAAAACTTTCAACAAATTTCTAATAAATGCCCTTAAATTAGATTAGTTCCCACCTGCAGACTTATTAATAGCTGTATAGAAGCACGATCTTGTTCCACAGAGAGTTCCCTGGGAATATCATATTGTTTTACAGGGATTAAAACCCACTGATTAGATCTGCTCCAGCGCCGCAGAACAATGCAGGAGGATGTGGCGGACCCCTGTGTCACAGCTCAGTAAGGTGGCCGCCCACCCATCCTGATCAGAGCCAGTGGCGTGCCATGAGCCCAACTGGAGGCTGATCCAGTGGAAGAAGCCAGGCTGCAGGTTTAAACGTTCTCACCTCCTTCATCTCAAAGCTGCGGGTGGCACTGATAGTCAGATATGTGGTTGTCTGGATGCAGAAAAACTGTTGGAAGCAACACGCAGCTCTGAGTGTGTGTGTGTGTGTTTGACTGGAAAACCTTTTTAGAAAAAACAGCAGCAGCAATCTTTTCCATAGCTCCAGTGGGCTGGGAGAAAGCCACAGGATATGAATGGTCCTCGGTGCAATCTAAAGCAACAATGTGGCTCGTCCATGAAAACCCTCATTGTCTTCGCTCTGGGTCTCACAGGACTCCATGCACAAAGGAGGTTTTGTCACAGGGCCCCGACCTCTCGTTTCTGTCGGAAGCACGTCCATTTCAACCGCAAGCAACGAGTCAGATGCGCAGCTTAAAGGTGATGCGGGAGGGCCTGGACGTGTCCTGTTTTACACGTCCGCCTCAGCTCTAGTCGGGTTCTGCAACTGCTGATTTTGTTTTGTCTTTGCAGGGCCTGTCGTGTGTGAGCCACTGTTTAAACACTCCATTATTTAAATGCTTCTTGGTGCATCACAATGGAAACCCACTCGTGTGGCCGGCAGATCTCAAAGGCAGAGTGGAAAACAGACCGACAGACGTCTTCGTCCGGTGAATTGCTGCAAAGAAAACTTCAACAAAGAGCTGAAGCTTCGTTGTTAATGAATAACGGATAATGTTGGACTGATCAGCTCCAAAGATTCACTTTTCTGACCTCTTTAAGCCGCTACCTGACTGGGATGTGAGGAACGTGCAAGAAACTGGTTCATTAAACACGTTTGCACAAAGGTTTTATAAATAGCCGAGGTTGCAACTTTTGTGCAATTGTTTTATTCTGAAATTGTCTCAAAGTTTTGAAATGATATCTGCTTTTCTGCACATTTGCCTCAGGGTTAACAGATGTTTGCAAGAACCTTTTGCACAGATAAAAAAAATAATAAAATCAAGTTCCTGCAATTTACTAGGAAACTGAAAAGTCCTGCAAAAAATACCAAGTATCCTGAAAACTGTGAAATGCAGTTCATGAACTGTACGCTTAACCGCATAATTTGTTGTTGCTCAGAAGAAACCAGTGACTTATTAGACATGTTTTGAGTGTTTAAAGGACCAGTTTGAATGAGCTGCTTGTTTCTGGATGCAGTTTCAGCTCCTAAAGCAAATATAAAGGACTCCTGCAGCTTTGTGGCAAACAGACAAACTCCCTGTGAGGTCATGATCCACACTGAAGGAATAAAACCAGGCTCCTCTCTCAAATAAAAAACTTTCTTCTGAAACAGAATCTCACATTTCTTCCCACAGGCTTGCTTTCCATCGCAGGTGGCTCTCGTTCTGAAGCTGTGCACGCTTCCCATCGAAACGAGGACCAGGGGAGACCGTGAACCATGTGACAACATTTTTGTTGAGGCTGTGCGGCGTTCTCCCACCCTCTGCGGCGTTACATTATTTCCAAACCCATGGGCTCAAACAATTTGTCTACCCAGCTCAGTCAGCTGTGGCCTTTGATGTGAGCTCCCTGGCGCTGCGGTTCTGTTGGTTGCTTAAAATTCACTTTTTTGGGGGGGGAAATAGTCGGGGTGGGAGCAGAAAGCAGACGGTGTCACCATCGTTCTAATAAACGGTGAACAGTCAGACGAGTAAACCCTTCTGGGATCTGATGGCAACGTCTTCTTGTCTTTAAAGCATGCTGAAAGGACCTGCCGCTGTTTTACGAGGTAACAAACTAAACACATTTGCTGACTGATTCATTACCTGTGAAAAAAACACCCGGCCCCTTGCAGCCATCTGCCCAGAACTTAAAGGCAGAAACAACAAGCGGTAACCCAAGCCCACCAACACGGCCCTATTTACCCGCCCAGCCTGCACAAACATGCAGATGGAAGCAGTGATGGATTAGAACGGGGTTATCCCAGTCAGCCAGCGCTGTGATAACAGAGCGAGAGCTTTCAGGCCGCGCAGACGTGGACGCTAAAGCCATGAAAGCGAAGTCCAAAAAGGTGGAGGTTTCTCCCCAACATGCCACAAAGGATTAGGTGTCTGGTTTCTCCTCCAGCTTCTAATCTGGACCGGAGGGGACGGTTGTCACTTTCCCAAACAGCTCTTACGGAGATTGTCCGTGGCACCTGCAAAAGCCAGGTTAACTCTGGGGATTAAGCCCAGGCACTTAGAGTGGGAGGGCCTGGATTAGAGATGCCATTGTGAATTCCTCTGTGAACGCTCTCGGGGCATCGTTCGGGTGTGAGAAGTTCACAATATTTGAAGAGGAACGTCTTACGCTCCGAGGACTGGCGCGCACCAGGAGGGGAGCTGTGGGTGGTCAGCGGGAGCGACGCTAGGACGAGTGAAGCGGTAAAAAGCCAGCAGCTTGTTTCTCTGCTGCCTTTGAGCTGCTGATGAAGAGGGTGCAGAGTTGGGATGGACGGAGAGCGGCGTGAAACGGGTCAGTTAGTCACAACACAGACCGAGCGTGGCAGAGACGGATGGACTCAATGACACCGACTGTCAGTATCATCACTCCGATGCTTCACCGATTTACTCAACCAAACCAAAAAGTCAGTTTCAGTAAACCGTCAGAACTAAAGGAAAGTTTAGAAACATTTTACTTTTGCATCAGAAAAGGTGGATTTAAAGAGGACAAATTATGCAAAACTCCCCTTTGGCGTCCTTCTGCTGCCACGTGGGTCTTTATACAGTCTCCTAACGTGAATAAAAACATGTTTTCTATCAGGGTTTAGTTTTAGGAATGATGTGCCTAAAACGAACCGTTAGAAAAAGAACCAATTTGTGATGTCACAATAAGGGAAATTAGCGGAGGTCCTCCCAGATATCTGAACTCCGCGCATCAAAGCAGCCAATCAGCTGGCCAGCTCCAGTTTGTTTAGCTTAAAGTGGCGGTGCCCTGAAACAGCTCATTCTGGAAGGTACTGAAAATGTCGAGGGTGAAGTTGCTGAAAGTGCTTTATGTGAGAGATTTTATAGAAAAAACTTCAGAAACATGTTTAGAATATTTACATATAAAATGAACAAGCCTCAGGTCACAGCTTGAGTTTCACGTGGAACAAAGAAAAAGTTCATCTATCCATTCTGCTCAGACTACGTTGGGATGGCGGTAAAAGGTCCAGAAGGGACGCTTAGACATCAGTGGACTGAGGGGTTCCCAGGTCATGAAGGATATTTCCTTCCTTCTGATTGTTCTGGGTATTCCTGGGGGTTTCCTCCCAGTGGGGATCAGGAAGCTGCTTACTCCGTTTGATGATGAGGAGCAGCAGCTCTACTTCGAGCTCCTCCTGGATGCTGGAGCTCTTAACTTCATCATTGAGGTTGAGACTGGTCATCCCACACAGAAAGCTCATTTTGGATGTTTGTAACCGGGATTCGGAAAGCAGACGGATCCGTAAATTCAGTACTTAGGCTTGGGACTCATCTGAAGCCTAAGCCCCGATCCGTCCAGAACATGGAACCATTCTCAGCCTAAAGGGAGCCTCCTGAAACATGCAAGTGATGAAAAGGTTTGTCTTGGCATCTTTTATCTAGATGTTATTTTGCCCAGACTCGTCTCCATTAGGACGTTGCGAGTTTACTGCTGAAACAAACGGATCTTAAACATCTGGGTGGAGGACCAGAGCTGCATCCTCAGCAGAGCTCCTCCAACAAAACCTCCGTTTACGTCCCCCTCCCTCATGTGTCGCTCCACATGAGCAAACTTTTGAGAGCTCCATTTTATACTCGGCACCTTTTGATATTTACTTTTATTTTGAAAATTCTACTTCTTTAGATTTTGTTTTACCTTTTAAAATCTCTTCAGATCCACAAAGTTTCTGTCCAGGCTGTTTTCATCAGAAGCTGTCGATCTATGGCAAGCCAGAATAAATTAATCTGTTATTTGGTCCCTAAGCTAGCATCAACCCAACGCACAAGATGAATATAATAATTAGGAAAAATCTTTATTAATAACTTTTTTCGACCAGGAAAGGGTGGCTTGCCAACTCCGGGTCGGGGAGAGGTCCTACCTCAAGTGGAGGAGTTTAAGTATCTCGGGGTCTTGTTCACGAGTGAGGGTAGGAGGGATCGGGAGATCGACAGGTGGATTGGTTCGGCGTCTGCAGTGATGCGGACGCTGAGCCGATCTGTCGTGGTGAAGAGGGAGCTGAGCCAGAAATCCAGGCTCTCGATTTACCGGTCGATCTACGTCCCAATCCTCACCTATGGTCATGAGCTTTGGGTAATGACCGAAAGAACGAGATCGCGGATACAAGCGGCCGAAATGAGTTTCCTCCGTAGGGTGGTCGGGCTCAGCCTTAGAGATAGGGTGAGGAGTTCGGACATTCGGGAGGGACTCGGAGTAGAACCGCTGCTCCTCCGGATCGAAAGGAGCCAGTTGAGGTGGTTTGGGCATCTGGTCAGGATGCCTCCTGGACGCCTCCCCGGGGAGGTGTTTCGGGCATGTCCTACCGGCAGGAGGCCCCCGGGTCGACCCAGGACACGTTGGAGAGGTTACATCTCCAATCTGGTCCGGGAACGCCTTGGGGTCCTGCCAGAGGAGCTGGTGGAGGTGGCCGGGGAGAGGACGGTCTGGAGCTCCCTAGATGGGATGCTGCCCCCGCGACCTGGTCAACCGGAGGAAGACGACAACGACGACTTTATTAATAACTTAAAAAATAAACACTCACGGCCAGGTGGTGCGATCACGGTGGTTTTATTGCAAGCAAAACAAAAGAAACTCCACCACCCGTTCATCAGTCATCCACCATAAAAAAATATTGGTCACAAACTCTCCAGAACAGATATTAAAGGTGTGGAAACAGGATTCGCCGTCCGTCGTCGTGAGACAAGCGCCGTCTGGAAGCTCGTAGGATAAACTAACATTCTGCGAAAATTACAGACCTCATACAAAAAATAACTTTTTTCATTTCTCCATCATAATAATAAAAAAGAAGCCAGCTTATTTACAGAATAATATTTTCTACGACTGGCTCGCCTAGCTCCCAGTGAAACGTTTCTCAGTAACAGACTTGTTACACGTGTCCTTTAAGGCATGATAACCAACATTTGTCTCTGATAACTCATCTTAAATACAAAGATGAAGGCCACATCTGCACCCCCCATAATAACATTAATAACCTTTACAATAATGCTAAAGTTTCTGTGCATCGCTCAGCCCAGTTAAGGCACCGGCTTTTCAGTAGGGGAGTCCAGAACAAACAGAGAACAACTGAGAAAACATTTAATCCCACACCAACACAGTCCGTCATATGTACACATATATAAACACGGGAGACAGAAAAGAAAAGGCGGTTTGGCAGCAAACAGCTGTACATGCAACCAGCTGGTGGGAAAACCGAGAAGTGATGGAAAAACGCCACAAAAACATCCTTTCCTTCCAAAATGATGCCAAAGCTGATCAGGGTTTAAGAGCAGAGGCGGAGCCAAAAAGGCTCTGAATCAGCTGCAGAAAGAGCGTGCACGCCGACACGCATGTGCACAGACACGCATGTACCATATGTCACAAAGTCTGAGCACTTCTGCTGCCAAGTCGGACGAGGGATGTAGAAGTTGATTAGAAAGCCAAAAAGGTTTGAGGCAAGGGCTCTTTGAATGTGTGGCTGAAGGGGCAGCTGTGTGTGTGTGTGTGTGTGTGTGTGTGTGCGTGTGTGTGTAGTGATGTAGAGATTAAAGCGTTTTATTCTAAGACATCTAAACCTTCAACCAAAACCCCGACATGTGAAAATCAGGGTGGAGAAGTGCACCCAAACTACCCCCCCGCCCCGTTAAAATAGACTTCCTCAGGTCTCTCTCTCTCTCTCACACACACACACACACACACACACACGAACCTTCTATTTTTCACACTAAACTTCACAAGGCCACTTTGATTCCTGAGGAAACAAAAGAAAAGTGTGAGGTCAAATCAAGCACGGAGAGATGAGGTCACCGCTGATGTCAACTCTTTTGTTTCCACCTAATTTCACAGGATTCGATGTTTGCAGAAGAAGAAAAATGCACGAATCTTTTCCTCGGGGAGGCATTACACATCCAGCCCCGTGCTGGATTAGGTTTCCTGTTTCCATGAACGCTACGTATCCTCTCTGGAGCCAAACCCCAACATCACAGCCCTGACGTCGGCTCGGAACGCCGTCCAAGCTTTAGGAATAATAAAACTCAAACCAGCTCAGAATGAAGGGATCAGTCGTTTCGCTGCTCCTGGTTTGTGTTGATGCGTCGGCGGTTGGCGAAGCCGCATCACGTCGCATGATGACAGCTGTTCGTCACATCTGGCGTTCATAACCGGTTACTTTGATCTGGTGTCATAAACATAAAAGGACCGATTGGAGAAATCGGAGAATGTTCAGGAGGGAAAATGGGAAAGGCAGCCTGTTTTCAAGGCTAAACGGAGAAAGCTGAAGCGGCGGGTCTGGTTTAAACTTTACTGAAAGCTTTAATAACAGAGTCGAGCTTTTAGCAGCACGACTTGTTATGATGCTACTATGTTTATAAAAGTCCAGATCGTGTTTCTGCCGCCGCCGCCGTCGTCGTTATCTTGTTTTATTGTTGTTTTCTTCCTTAAGACGCGTTTAGCACCACCCGACTGTAAAGCTGCACCAACATCTCACTGGGGTGGGACCGTCAGTCACTAAAGACACAAATCTGAGATGCGAGTCACGTCGGGCATGAGATGAACCTGCAGTAATCCTGTAATTATTTTTTAGCAATCAAGTCAAAAAAATATTCCAACGACGTCTCCGTTTGTTTACAACTTCCTTTCACTTGGATTCTTCGAAAACATTCAAAATCCTGAGATCGAACAAGAACCTTTAAGATTCTCTAGAAGCAGCAGCAGCCCAGAGAGAAAGCAGGCTTCTCAGATCTCAACGGGAGGTTGAATATTCTTCACCGTCGTCGGGTCTGTTCGGCACCGGGACGCTTCGACCGGTATAAAAATCCTTTATCAGGCGCGTCTTTGATTCCTCACTGCAGAACAAAAACTGCTGCAAGAGCCGATAAACTCGAGCCTGAAAATGAGTTTTTTATGTCTTTAGCCGCTGATCCAGTTCAGTTTTTGTAGGAAACAAGAGGAAGCTGCTGCTGCTGCAAAGCAGAATTAGTGGGAAATGTGCACCAGGATTAAGTTTACCTTTAAATAATAATAATAACAAAAAAAAAACTCTCTAAAAGAAGCCTGAGTGTATAAGGAAATCTGCTGTCGCCATGGTAACTACGGGTGATCTCTTAAGTGAGATGTGAGAAGCCAAGCGGACCGAACAGTGCTTAATGTGACCTCCTCCTCCTGTACCATGCCTGTGAAAGTCTCCCTTTTATTATCGAGGTTTTCCCTTTCACTCTTGTACTTTTATACTTCTGTAGGCAACAAGCCTCCCGCAGCAGCAGCATCTGCTCTAAATACTGTTCGCTGCCTCCCGTGTGAAGCCGAAGCACCAGGAGAGCGTTTTCTAAAGGCTGCAGGAGTCCCGTGGTTCTGTAAGCGCCGTGCCGAGTCAGGGGCATCAGTACTTCACCTACAAGAGTCTGAACACCTGACCCATGACCAGGACAGGCACAAACACTAACAGGCAAAAAACGTTATCTCATTCACGCCGGTCCAAACGTCAGTCTGCTCAAACGAGAACAGAAAATATCTCTGAGGCTTTTTGCAGCTCTCCGTTACAAAACCATAATACCATCCACAAAAATATCTTTAAGGTTAAGTGGTTAGAGCCGAGGCGGAGTCCCGAGAGCTCAGGTGGAAAACGGAAAAATCTTTTATCTTTGAACGTGAAACATTGGACTTCTCCTCAGCCACGTCCGCTCCTCTCAGACGTACCACTCTCGGCGTGAGATCACAGACCCGTCCATGTGGGACACATAGTCACTGTCCGTGCCGTTGTCGTAGCAGTCCTCCGGGAGGTAGGGGGAGCCGTTGTTCATAATTGAGCTGTGCACTGGAGGCCCACAGGGGTGCATGTTCTGAGTGTTGTAGTGATCTGTGTAGTAGTTTCCCTCCTTACTGCCCCGGTGTCCGTCCCCCCGGTCGGCCCAGTCGTCCCGATCCTTCCGTTCGGGGGTGTAGTCTGGGTAAATAATGTCCCCGCCCAGTTTAGGCTTCAGCTCCTGGCTGCCTTTGCTAATTTTGTCCCCGTACACCTCCTGTAGCTCATGCGGCTGCAGGACATCCACCTGAGTCTCCTTCTGCATGTCGGACGGTCCAAGGTATTGTTTGGTGTAGTAGTCCCCTCTGAAGGTTCTGCGCTGGCGCATAAAACAAACGCCCCCGAGGATCAGCAGCAGGATCAGGAAGAGAACTCCACCCACTGCTCCACCTACTATCGTACCCAGGCTGCTCTCCGCGATGGCGCCGCTGGTGGGGGAGGTGAACAGGGCCCTCTTCTGGTCCACGGCAGCGTCCGTTCTGGAGGTGTCCCACAGGAGGGAGGCGGTGGTGCTGGGGGCTGCAGTGGTGGGGGGCGGATCTGCAGGACAAACAAGTGATGAAAGGATTGAAACCACAGAAGGAGGCAGCAAATGGAGTCAAGAGTCATAAAACCGATGCTTTGTTCTGTAGCTACTGACAAAGCAGGTGGGAACAGTTTTTTATTCATTCATTCATTCATTCATTTATCCTGATGGACATTCTGGTGAGGAGAGGAGAGGAGCAGAAAGTGTCCATGTGAGGAAACATGGACAGAGGACATCTGAGGGGGCATTTGATCAGATTCACCTGGTTTACAGTGTCATGATTAGGGTAGGATTGGGCATCGTTTGATTTTGAACGATTCCGATTCCAATTCCCCATTTCGATTCCGGTTCCTATCGATTCCCGATTCCGGTTCTTTCAAGACAGGACATGTTTTACACGAGCCAGCTAACCACAGGTCCTCCTGGATGAAATAATCTTAACTTCAACATGAATTTTAATTCTATGAACAACAACGTCACCTTCATTTAGACAGAAACATGTTTTGGAGAAAAAAAGAAAGACTTGCAGCACAACCAGTGTGTTTGTTTCTGACCACAACCAAAGTCTGGAAGCAGCCTCTGGGATGAGAGGCTAAATGTCTCCAACGTGTCCAGAAACATCCAGCTGTTTTCAGCTAAAACTCAGGATGATCATGTCCAGGATGACTGAGAACTACACGTCCATGCTGCAGCAGCATTCAGTCACAACAGGAAGTGAAACTTAAATGTAGCTGCTGTCAGTAACAATCGAACAGATTTTAAACATTAAAACTCAACAGAAATAGTTCAGGAAGGAAATTAAAATGTTTACAACGTTGTGTGTTATTTATTATAATAATAATAATAATAATAATTATTATTATTATTATTATTATTATTATTATTTACTGTGGCAGAAGCTGGTGTGGTCCACCACAGAGAAGCTTCTCTAGCATGACGACTTTAATTATTCTACAGGTTATTGTTCAGCCTTCTGATGCACACGCGCGAACGCGCGCGCGCACACACACACGCACGCACACGCGCGCGCACGCACACACACACACACACACACACACACACACACACACGCACACACACACACACACGCACACACACGCGCACACACACACACACACACACGCACACGCGCACACACGCACACGCGCACACACGCACACGCGCACACGCACACACGCACACACGCACACACGCGCACACGCGCACACGCACACACACGCACACGCACACACACGCACACGCACACACGCACACGCGCACACACGCACACACGCACACACGCACACGCACACACACACACACACACACACGCACACATGCACACACGCACGCACGCACACACACACACACACGCACGCACACACACACACACACACACAAGTGTTGGTGAGCGGCTGCGTCTGACTGCTGACGCTCCGTGTGTGTTTTTATTTCTGCAGTGAGACAAACTCACCTCTCACCGTCCAGAGTTTGTTCTTTAAGCTTCTATTAAGTCCACCGTGTTGACGTATTTAACACGTTTCCTCTACGCTGCAGGAGTTAACGTTTACATTACGTTTGTTTATATCCGGGTGGGGGGAGGGGGGGGACAGCTGGTGTGATCCGCTCTGAAAAGCGTTGATCACAATTTGCAGATCACGTTTATTTTTCACGGACATCGGCCGCGGATTCCTCTTCCGTCGGCATTCTAGGAATCGAAATAAATAACTTTGAACGATTCTGGGAAAAACTAACAGTTGGAACTGGTTCCAATCGATGCTCGATGCCCGACCCTAGTCATGATGGAGATATAAGACAGCGGGACTTTTAACCTCCTGGATGATCATCAGAAAGACGAGCTGACAGGAATGACAACTAGACCAGACACTTATGGGGTGGGGCTCAGCCTGGTCATCTCCACAGGGGACGGAGGCAAGAGGATGCACGCCCAACTGTCAACACTTGACAAGAGGAACAGGATAATTGCTCAGAGCAAGTCCGATCTGGACGGGACCTCAGAGGGGTTTTCATTTGGAGCCGGCGGCGGAGAACAGATGGATCTCGACAGCAGGCAGCTCGTCGTCCTCAACGGTGAGAAAGCAAACGAGCTGCGAGTGTTTCCAAAGGCAGCATTTACTTTGTTTGGGGCAAACAAATAAAAGGAAAGGGAAGTGGTATAAAGCTGCAGGGTGGATCTGCAGCAAGAAGGTCAGGGTTCCTGAGTTAGCATGCTCTCCTCGTGCATGTGTGGGTTTCCTCCCACAGGCCAGAAACATGCAGGTCAGGGTTGAACAGTCTACGGGTAAACGAATAAACATAAAAAAGAACAGCTGAACCTGGACAGACTGGAGTTCAGGATTAATCAAACCCAAAAGCAAAGAAAGCCTGGTTTCTTCAGTTTTAGACGGAAACGTTTTGGGTCATGATTCATCAAGTTCTGCTGGGAAACGCAACCTTCTCCTCATCTCAGATATCTAACCCTGCCTAAACCGGGACAGCGGGAATGTTTGGGACTGATACTCCATTCGGACCGCGTGCTCCTCTGTTCACAGGAATGTGTGGGACAGGTGAAGTCTAGTAATCGTTTACCAAACCGTGTGAAAAAGTCAGAAGCACCTTGGACCCAGAAGTTGACGTCCAGACTGCGATAGCCCATCTCATTCATCACCTCACAGCGATAGATGGCTGAGTCGTTCCGCAGCAGCCGCCGCCTGAAAGTCAGGGTGCTGTTGGAGACGTCCACACCGTCAGGAACCGACCCGTCCACCCTGGACAGACACACCACGCAGAAAACCTTCAAAATAAAAGCCATGACTTTTCTCTGATCACGGCTGATCCTTTCAGCTCTTCGAGAGGAAAATCTTTAATTGTGCCGTCAGCCTAAACTTCACATCTCTCGACGCGAGACAACAAAACAGTTGCCAATAGGCTCGTGTTGCTCTGATGCACAAACTGTTTGGAATCTTTATTTATAGCCGGCCCGGGAGACGTCCCAAAGGGCGCAGCAGCCTTCGACAGCTCCAGTAGCCAGGCTCCAAGCTACACCAGCAGTAATTTATAGACACCAGTTTCCTTACTTTTAGATTTATTAGAGCCAGACTGGAGCGCCGAACGGCAGCAGGTCCACTTCACTCACCAGAAATGTTGCTATGAGCTGCTGCAACAGCGGACCGGAGTGAAACTCTTTAATGTCTCAAATGTACAAAACAAGTTTCTGCTGAATTTAAAGAAATATGCGAATGAGATATTTTATATTCAATCACAACCACGCGTTCAAGATACTGACCTGCTCCAGGTGATGAAACGGACAGGTGGGTTGGCTTTAGCCCCACAGGTGAGTTTCACGTTGGCTTGGCCCACGTACAGCTCTCTGTCGAGTCCCTCCACTGATATCTCCGGAGCATCTGCAGAACAAAGAGCAGAAGGGCGTTCTTCAGTTACCATGAGGTTCTGACTGGGATCAGCAGCATGACTGGGACCTGATGGTAACTGACTGGGACCTGATGGTAACTGACTGGGATCAGCAGCCTGACTGGGACCTGATGGTAACTGACTGGGATCAGCAGCCTGACTGGGACCTGATGGTAACTGACTGGGACCTGATGGTAACTGACTGGGATGAGCAGCATGACTGGGACCTGATGGTAACTGACTGGGACCTGATGGTAACTGACTGGGATGAGCAGCATGACTGGGACCTGATGGTAACTGACTGGGACCTGATGGTAACTGACTGGGACCTGATGGTAACTGACTGGGACCTGATGGTAACTGACTGGGACCTGATGGTAACTGACTGGGATGAGCAGCATGACTGGGACCTGATGGTAACTGACTGGGACCTGATGGTAACTGACTGGGATGAGCAGCATGACTGGGACCTGATGGTAACTGACTGGGATGAGCAGCATGACTGGGACCTGATGGTAACTGACTGGGATCAGCAGCCTGACTGGGACCTGATGGTAACTGACTGGGACCTGATGGTAACTGACTGGGACCTGATGGTAACCGACTGGGACCTGATGGTAACCGACTGGGATCAGCAGCCTGATAACAATGATCCTTTCAGAAGGAACAGAGCCATTGTTCATAGCTGAGCAGGACTGTAACGGGGTGCAGGATGAAGCCAAAAGAGCAAACAAATGACCCGAGTTAATAACCTGCACTTGCTTCTGCATCACACAGAAGTGAATGAAGCCTGGTCCACGGCGCTTTAATAAAACAATGCAAACGGCGACTCGGACTGCAAGTTCCTCCTGATTTCTCTAGAGGACAGACAAGGATCTCGTTTAGGACACAGGAAGGTGTCTCAACTCTCAACCCCTTTTCTCACGCTCCAACATCATCCTTCTGCTGCTTTTGCACTTAAAAGCCCTCGCCTCTGCATCCAACAGGATGTATTGAGCCAAGCCTCCTCCTTCCTGTTCTAACCTTGGCTCTTTTTGTGCCCCCAGCAGCTACTTATGTTGCTCTTCAGGCCTGATCAATAGTTCATAAAATCCCTTCGTTAGCCTGCAGCACTCATTCAGAGCCACAGACAAGCTAACTGAGGAAGTACGGCACATGTCGGTGATCAGGACATGGAACACCAGATGACTCAACGGATGAAGACATGAACGACAGCACACGTCTTCGGGAATTACATTTCAATACAAGGCAATAGAAAGCATAAAGCCTCAGTCGAATTAGCAATTCTGAACAAAAATGCACCATAAATAAAAAAATACACTGATAAACACACAAATAAATACATAAATAAATGCTGCATGGATGGGTGTCAACACTCACACTGAACATTCAGCTTGAACGGTATGCGGAACTCTGTCTGCAGGGCCGGGTGGCGAACCACACAGGTGAGCGTCTTCCCCTGGGCGTAGCTCTGTGGTGGCCACAGGTAGCGCACCTGCACGGTGGTGGTGCCGTCGGACTCGTCCTGACTCTGCTTCTCGGACCGGCCGTACAGCTCCGCCTCCCAGAACACCTCAGCGGCGGGGCGGCCACGCTCTGCAATGCAGGTGGCAACCAGCGACTCGTCGTCTTTGTCCAGCAGAGCCGCTGGGCCGGCGGACACGTACACCTTGGGCTCCACTGGAGAGGAGGAGAGGGAACAACAGAACAGGGAAAAATGATGTAACTAATTATATCAACCACTTTGTGTACATGCATGAATAAATAATGTCTCAGAATACTCAGCAGCCAAAAGAGCAGATTGATTTTTCCGTTCCACCTACAGTAGAAACATTAAACCTTAATGACCGTCTCCATCTGGAGCATAAAGAGGATTTAGGACTAGATGGCAGAAAGTGGGTTTGAGAGGAGGGTCTACAGCAGCAGCACCTGTTGGTTTGATGCTTCCAGTAAAGTCCATCAAGTTCTGACGAGTGTGTGTGTGTGTGTGTGTGTGTGGGGGGGGGGGGGGGGGGGGGGTGCTGAACGTCTCACACGATGACATGTGGAGAGGAGGTGGTCCACAAAAGCCACACTCGTCTTCCTGACCCGTCATACGCCGAAAACCCCGTTATTAGTCATAACAGACGAGGCGGACGGAAAGATGCAACACAAGTTTTATTTTGAAATAAACGGAATGCACTGGCTGGCACACTTCTCACTTCCTGTCTGGTTCTTGGGATGTCTTTAACTTCATGACGTTCCACATGAGGCGTCTGAAAAAAACAGAAACTATGATAAATGATAAATGACCCGCACTTGTATAGCGCCTCTCAGAGTAAGGACTCCAAAGCGCTTTACACTACAGAGTATCATTCATCCATTCACACACACACACTGATGGTGATGAGCTACGATGTAACCACAGCTGCCCTGGGGCGCACTGACAGAGGCGAGATCCAGAGCGCTGCATCTGGACCCGTTCCGACGTGAATGCTCAGACTGGACTCGACAGTTTCCCGTCTTTGTGGAAGCTGCGCGGATTCCGATCGGCACCTGTTGGGCACTCGGTGTGAATGAAGGGTGCAGCTGCAGCTAGCTCTGCAGCGCTGTTTATATTCGACTATGTTGTACTGAAGATGACCCGATTCGCCTCCTCCTCTGAGCTGAGGCCATGTTTAACCAGTTCCTACAGACGTTTAGACATTACTGGGATTTTCTCTCCAGTGAGACAAAACAGATGCACGCAGAAGGAATGAGACCAGAAAAATGTCATCTATCTGCTTTGAAGAGTCACAAACCATCAGTCTGCTTCGGACCAAAGAAGAAACATACTAGCTGAGAGGTCGTTAGGACAAGGAGAGAGGAGGAGCGGAGAGGTGAACCAGGAGCTGGATTATTCTCGTTTACACGTCTGATCTGGACTTGTGCAACAGTGCGCCACATCCGCCTAGTTAAAACTAAACCCAACAAGAACTTGCTCCATTAACTTCAACAGGGATGCTTTTAAAAGTGGCGTGTGTGTGTATGTGTGTGTGTGGTGGTGGTGGGTGGGATGGGGTGGGGGGGGGGGGCTGCACACCCACAAAATCCACAAGACAGGGCGGACATGTTTAAGACAGCTCTCCTCCAGGAGGTCTACAGGCCGGGGCGTGGTCGTCGCTCCAACATTCCTCCCACCGCCCCTCCCAGGAGGCTGGGACGTTTGAACAGTAGCTGCTCTGTGCCGGCAGAGCCACCAGCTGAAACATCACAATTACTAAAATCAGCCGGAGCGTCTCGTTTAGCGTCGCTGTCAGCCAGGAAAAGAAACTCCCTGCAGGTGAACTGGCTGTACTGGTCCTCTCTGGTGATGTCATCTCTGTAGGGCAGCCTGTGAGGTCCAGCTCAAGTCTGAGTCAAACCGAACCCGACGGTTCTGACTCATGAACCCGGGGAAGTCGAGCCTCATTTAAAACAACTAAAAGCAGAAATGAAATTGTTTCATAGCCTGGAAACTGCGGTAACCATAGAAACCGTGACACTCATCAGATTTTAGGAACTCAAAACCTTCCCTCAGCATCACTCACCACTTCATTAATGACCCAATAAAAGTAGCATTATGGGATGGCTCCGGAGCTGAAATGCTGTTTCTTATCAGTAAAGCTGTGCTGATGTTTTTTTTAAGCTAAGCAAACGGCAGCATCGACCCGTCAGCGGACGAAAACAAAAGCTTATTGTAATTCTTTCTCTGGATAATATTTTCCTTCTCCGGTTACTTCCTCCCGCTCACACGTTGGGACTTTACCCTGGAAGAGCCAACTGAACCGCTCCCTAAACGTTTAGCTCCTTTCCTGTGACCGAGCGAAGAAGACGATGGTCGTTTCTGCTGTGTGGCGTTTTCCATCAGGAGTAACCTCGACACTCGTTAACCGTTATGGTTTCACTTCAGTTTGTTTAGGAGAAATGAGAATGCACTCGTGTGCTTTCATGTTCCTTAAAGTGAAAACATGAATCTGAAATTCTGATACAAAGAAGAAAGCAAGAATACGGTGCATGTTTTATGTTAACATCTTAAAAGGATTCACATGACTCAAAAGCTTTTTTTTTCTTTTACTGAAGAACCTGAAAAGGTTAAAAGTTTCAAGGTGATGGAAATAAGTCATAAAGGAGAAGGATAAACTACAGACCCTTAAAGTCAACATTGGGGGGGGGGGGGGGATGCCTAATTTTCCTTATCACGTTTCCCCGATGCAAACAAATGACCCAGAATTCCTGGTGGATTTAGCTGTGAGCCACCCCGTTATAGTAAACTTAAAGAGCAAGTCACCCCCAAATAAACTTTTTTTTGCTGATAAACTAAATAAACGAGTGTCTAATCGTGCTGCAGACACGTGTCGTCAATTATTTGGCACTTCAGTGCATTTTAGTTAAAATTTAAATATTCTGCCTAAAACTGGCAGTGTTGTGCCGTTGTCAGGTAAAAACTCTGCACTGTATTTTAATTTAAATCGGCCACCGCTATAGGCTAAGAGGTATGCTATGATGTAAACTGGTACATTATGATGTCACAATGCTGTTGTGAGCCTGTGTGTGTGTGTGTGTGTATTTGTTAGCAGCTCCGCCCTCTCGGTCTGCCAGGCAACAGCATTTTTTGCATTTTTCAAACATGAAGTGGGAGTGGAGTTAGACTCTGGTAGGGGGTGACTTACTCTTTAAGAGCTTTGGTATGAAAAAAAGGGCATTTTAGCTCATTCACCGCCAATGATGAAATTTGCTTTTTTTTTTTACTGTGTGTGCGTCGGACGAGCCCCCGCGCCGTGAGAACAAACATCCCAGCTCTAAAGCCGATCTTCATCAGCGCATGTCACACGTCACGTGATCAGGAAGCAGAAAATCCATGTGTTAGGAGATCGTTTTGGGCCGCGGCTGTAAAAAAAGTGAGGCGCGAACCAGAAAAGCTTCTGCCGATCACAATTCAACAACGAATTATGAAAGAACGGATAATGCTCGAAACACGCGGATTCTTCCTGATGCAAGAGGTGAGTCTCCGCTTTGTTTTGGTTGTTTTGGCGTCGACATCATCCTAGCGCAACGTTCTGTCACTCTTAAAAAAACAGTAAGCGAATGAGTTAAAAAAATACATACGAGTCAAAACAAAGTCAAGCAGAGGGAACTTCATGCCAGCAGGTTTATGTTGCTGTGGATCAGATTAAGAACATATTCTTCACCTAGAATCACATTAATTACATCTGAAATGTAAAGAAGGTGTGTGTTTGCACGTTTTAAGACGATAAACAAACGACTCAGTAAGAGTAAAGAAGGCGAATCTTACTTTACCTAAAACATTAACTACAGTGGATGCTTGGGTGTTGCCCAGAGGAAAAGTTGACACTTTGCAGATGTAGGAACCGATATCGGCAAAACTGACTCCTTCAAGGGTAATGGTGGCGTCTTGCGTGGAAGGGGAGACAAACGAGATGCGTTTGCCGTAATCGGTAGAATAAGACGTTCCATACTCAGGATTGAACACTGCCAGGGTAATGGGGCCTGACGGAAGACGACGTTCCCAGGAAATCTGTGTGAAACTCTGATTAGGTCCGACTTCTATTCTGCAGCCGAGTGTGATGTTCTTGCCCAGCACAGCGTTGACTTTCTCAGGAACCACCACCCGGTTCCCGCTCACGCCATCTGTGGACAAAAAACACACAAAGACGAGATTCAGATCAACGTAACAAGAGATTATTGTTGAAGAAGTAATTAAAGCGAAGAATTCCAAGTTTTCAGGGCGCGTTAGTGAAGTGGGAAAGCAAATTACAGTTTTAAGTCGTCAGCCAGTGGAAGATAATTGATGGGAAAATCTAAAAAAAGACTCACTTTGACAAATAAAGCAAGTCTTCCCCATTCACTGTGACAAATTTAACTTCAGAGGCTGAAGAGGAGTTTAAAAACTCACTGCAGCCAAAATCTCCCAATTATAGACGAACGGAGCAATTTAGCTGCTTTTAAGGAAAACTCATCTTAGCTAAGCTTAGTGAGAAGGACATTAGCATATGCTAACTACCCGTTTACATGCGTTCCTCTGATCACAGTGACATACAACACGTATGTTTAACATGTTCAATCCACATGTTTTCCCTCCAAACGCCCAGGCTCAGCCTCGTCTCTTAAAAGCTACACACTTTCACGGCGGGACACTCAGACGGTCCCTCTGGCTAATCACCAGAGAAACTCCTAAACTAGCGAGTAAAACTTTTCTGGAAAGAGATGAAACAAAAATAATTAATTGTTAGCTTTAATTCCGACTTTTATGAGGCCAATCATTTAACGGGATGCCTACCACAGGTTGTTGCTGTCTTATTGTGAACCAGATGCTAACTTGAGTTGGAACAGTAACAGCAGGGTTTTAAAACAGGCTGCATATGCTAACTCTCCTTTGTTGGCTTATTCTGTCAAAAACTTTTCTAAATCCAGACTTAATTCTGAATCCCACTGCCATAACGACCAGGTTATATCATAACACCGGCGAACTCTCCTAGTGTTGGGCCGATCTCCGTTGACAGACGTGCGGCGTGGTTTTAGCAAAACAAAAAGAAAAGAAAAGAGCAAACAAAAACATCCCGCTTGGTGGTTGCCTGCGCCGTATCTTGGAGGACTAACCTGAAATAAATCCTAAATTACAGGTTAAGCTTGCTGCTGGGAATGGAAAGAAATCCTTCATATTCAGTTTTTTCTTTCCTTTTGAGTGAGAATAATCGTAGATATGACTCACTGATAGAAACACATAGTTTGAGGACGTGGTAGGAAGATTTACAGCGCTGTTCCAGACTGAACCGTTGGACAGGTCAGTTTTAACTTGTGAATGTGTTTTCTTTACAGAAATAAAAAGAGGAAAATGTTGCTGTAAGCGATTTCATCCTAAATATTCTAACTTTACATCTTTCTTGACATGGCTGCAGCCAAGGAAGGCTGAATTTAGGACTCATAAATTTCCACTTTGTACATAGTCACGGATGTGTATGGAGCAGAGCTTATAAAAGTGGTCCGCTGACTGGTATTTCAAGTCTTTGGCATGGATCTGAGTGGTAAACCACAGCAATGCTATCATGGTTTGAGAGCAATATAACCAAGGAGGCCGAGGCTCCCTGTGCTCCATTACGTCCCCTGTAATTTCAGTGATTACACTCACACACATGCAAAATTTCTCTCTCCCAAAATAAAGAATAAGTGTGTGACCATGTGTGTAAGTTTGGTCTCCTGTTTAAAAAGCTGCTCAAGCTTAAATAAGTGAATCATAAAGTATTACATCTGGGCTTCCCTGGTGGTTGTTTACCAGTTTTCTCTCTTTCAGCAGACTTTCCTGCTCTGGAGCTGAAGCAGTTCTGAGCTACATTTAGGTTTTTAACACGTTACCCTTAAAGCAGTAAATCCACACTGCTTATTTGTCATCCACTGGAAAGGACATTTGGATCATTACATCAACTCTCTGCAAAAATCTAAACATCTATTTTCATCTTTTCATCGACTTTGACTCACGGCCTGGTTAAACGGGGCGGGCAGCGCGTTAATCTGTTTTGCAGGACGTGTGTTGCCTCGGTAAGTGTCCTCTGGGGGTGGGATCAGGGTCAAACCCAGGCAGGTCTAGCATTCTCCACTTCATGGTCGTCTGAACTGACACGGACAACTGTTAGCTGTCACACTATTAGTACAACTTTGTTGTTTCTGTTGGGAAAACAAGAGGAAATTTACACCGGCGTTAGGGTCAGCTTCTATAAATGGACCAAAGATGAAGATGGCTTGCGGACAAAAACGCTCCAGCGTAAGTTGCTTGACTAATAAACCAACTTGTTTGGCATGCGTGACATTGTATTGATGCCTGCAGACACGTGTCTCGGACCAGATTTCTCCTCAACATGCCCTACATACTGCAGCTACCTGACACACAACCCCAAATGCTACCGTGCATTGTGTGTCCCGTCTCCGTGTTTCAGCTTTCAGGGTCGGTCACAGCATACAAAGAAACAAGGCTATCAATGCTGCGTTCTATTTGTTTTACTGTAAAGCATTTGGAAAAGGGGGGGGGGGGGGGAGGAGGAGGGGGTGCTTTAAAAAGACTCCACCCTTGCCATTAGGGGGAGAAACAGATGGCCTCTGCATGGGATACCTTCAGTCAGGAGCCGAGTGGAGAAACTCGGCACGGCGTGCTCAAAGAGCACAGCCAGGTCTCACAAACTAGAGGAGCAGGAATACTGCAGGCAAATAAAACACAAGTGGTGCGTTACAGGAAGCTGTCATAGCGGAGTGGACCTACAGCTCAGATTTGTCCCTGTACTCATTACTGATGATTATTCACTCAGAAAAAACGTTTCATTCCAGAGGAAGCACAGGAACAAATAAATCTCACAGGTCATCAGGAGTTGTCACTTTTGATGATTAGCCAGCAGATACGAAACTTTAGTTTTCACAGAGAAACCAGAGGAAAGAATGAACTCATGGGAAGGAAATGCTTCCTCTTTGAAGACAAGCTCCATATTTGTTTCTTTCTCTCCTGACATCACTAATTGCGACAAGATGCTCAAAAGACGCAACGGTAAATCAAAACCTTCCTTTTTGCCTGGCAACCGGCGCAAACATTCCACGTGGGCCACATGACGAGCCAAAACCCCCACCTACCCCAACCTGACCCTGCCTGGGCCCTGACCTCCCCAGGAGAGGCTGTCTCCTGGCCAGGGAGGATCTCGGCGAAGCCCGGAGACCAGGTCAGGACTGTCCGTGGTCACTCACGAGCAGTTAACAAAACACACAATACGTCATGTTCATGTAGACAAGCTCCACGCATAGATTATCATGTCAAACAGCACTCATGAGGGACTGATCTAAAGACCTCACAAGAGAAGAATGCAGACATGAGATCTGATCAGGAGGGAGTGAGGGTTTTAGGACTAAAGCACACGGAAACCAAGTTAAGCACAGAATGAACAGGGACAAAAAGCAAGAATCAGGTCAGTTATTGTGAAAGTGCAGAAATCTGATGACAATCTGGAAACGTTACAGAGAACATTCAAAAGTATCTGGCTAGAGGAAGTTCTAAAATCAATACGGCTTCACACGAGCCTGAAACCTGGAGTCACTTTACTTTTTCTGTGGGATAAAAAAAAGACGTTTAATGAAATGAATTTGAGTCGTTTCATCTTTAAACAAACAGGATTTCTGAATGTTGGTAAGCACCGACAGAGAAGCCAGCAGTAAACAACAATCTGCTACACGACACTAAGTCATCGCCCAACATCTATAGTACCAGCAGGGTCTATATTTGACTGACCTTTACCTTTGAGGACAGGAGGCAACGAGGGTAGTGAGCAGAGAACAGACACAGCGGGCCTATAAAGCCGTGGTCTGGGACCAACACTGGCCTCTTTAAGCCAATAACTCTGACTCAATCAGTCACAAGCAGGATAGGCCAAGTGCTCAATTGCATGCTTTATGGCAGGCCTTTATTGTCAGAAATATTTGTGCAGAGTGAAGAAAACATTAGTCTCTCCAGCAGCACTAATCTACCCCCTTCCTTCCTTGTATTGTAGCCTGTGAGGGTGTGAGGCCTTCTGGAGGCCTAATTGATGGTCCAGACAAACAGAGGCTGACAGGCCTTTAAAAGGGGGCAGGCAGGCCTCTTTCACATGTCACTGTCCTCTTCAAAATCCTTTTCTTTTCTCTCTGCCTCATAGCAATGCCCCCCCGCCCCGAGTCACATTCGATTAAAAGATCAGAGCTCAACAGCAACAGTGATCCATAGTGTTGACATAGACAGTACGATGAGGGGTTGCAACCTCTCAGGATTCACTATAGCTGGGCTGTAGCACTTGGAAAGAACAATGTCTGCCGCTGTGTACCAAAGAAACACAAACATTCCTCCTGCATCCTGCCTCCGAGTGTGGGATTTGTTATTGTTTGTTGCGGGGGTTGAGGTCTTTCTGTGCGTGCACACAATGCTGTGCATCTATAGATGACCAGTAATGAGATTTTCCGTGGATGCTGAAACCAGAGGAAAACGCAGGCGTTGGAAAAGCTGGAAGTTTGACTTGGTAAAAGAAACAAGAAAAATTCATTCTGAAAAGGTCTGAAATCACACAAACATGGCAGCTTTATTTACACGCTGAGAGGTTTTAATATAGCTGGAAAAACAATAAAGTCATTTCGGTAAAAAACTAAATAAAAAATAAAGCCAGTAATATTATTAATGAACGTGCCTGTTTCATAGTACAAGAATGTGGAGCGGAGCGGTATGGAGTAAATTTAAGCACACTGCTGGTAATACTTCTGTCTCCTTTCGCCTCTGAACGCTGAATGCAGGTGTTTTTCTTTGACAGTATTTTATTGTGTGTTATTAATAGATTTACAAGACTGCATTTTTCCTGCCAACACAACATCCAGGCCATTAAATCAAAACACTACAGCTAGATGTGGTGCAGAGGTCCCTTCTAGTTAAAATACTCACAGATGCATTTCCTCACAATCACACAAACTCCACGCTCCAAACACGACGCAGGAAAATCCACCAGAGGTGTCAAATCTCTGACTGAGCAGGGCGGCAGCAGGGCTTCATGTTCACATGACACTGGAAGACCTGGGAGGTAAAACTAGCTTACCCGACCTTTCAAATGATGCATTAATCCAGATGTGGTGTTGCAAAG